TTTTTTTTTTACTGTTACGCTTGTCTGCTTTGTAATTTTAGTGAGCATTTAAGAGTTTCTTAAAAACTTCATGTTGACTTGATCATTTAAGCAGGATGATTAATTATCTTGTTTATTCCTCAGGGAGTTCAGTGCCTGTGACCAGTAGCAATGCTTCTGCATTTTCTACTTCTTCTGGAGGATTTATGGATTTAGACAAATTCAAGAAGCCTGAAGGAAGCTGGGATTGTGAGGTCTGCTTGGTCCAAAACAAAGCAGAAGCCACAAAATGTGTAGCCTGTGAAAGCGCGAAGCCGGGCACCAAAGCAGAGCTCAAAGGTAATAATGAGAAAAACAAGGGTGTGCGTTCTGCAGGGTTTTTTTTCTTTTGTTTATTTTTAAGCACAATTGTTTTTCCTTTGAAGTATGGCAAAATTGTTCGTTTTTCCTCTAGGAATGTTGCTTAAGCCTATGTTTCTACACCCTTTCCCCAGGAAAAGATAATGCTTTTTTAGAGAAAAGCTTGTATTAATGACATAGTTGTTGCCTTACAAGCCTTACATGTTGTTCATTTAGAGTTTAGGCTAAAAGCATGATCTTTCAAAGAAGCCAGCCGTATCCTTTTTAAAGCCAAGTGGTGGATAGAAGAATACCACTGCGAAAAGGTCTATATAGGGAGAAAATGTGGAGTTTTCTTATTTATTTTGTGGTTCGTTGTTTCTTTTTTTTAAACAGTTGTGACTCTGGGAAGTTCAGTACTAGAATCCCAGCCCTGTAGCTAAAGCCTAGGTATATTACATCATAGAGTGCAAATTTAGCATTGTTGCTTATTTCTGCAGGTTTTGGTACTGCTGCTGTGTCCACAAATGCTGCAGTGCCATCATTTACATTTGGAGTCCAGTCGTCTTCCTCTGAATCTTCTCATACATTAGGTAGCACAGGAAATTTTAAATTTGGAGAGCAAGGGAGCTTCAAGTTCGGCATTGCATCTGAATCTGCGTCCTCCAACGCTGTGACTGGGGGATTTAAGTTTCCTACTAGTTCAGAGGACTTCAAATTTGGAGTTTCTTCCTCAGACTCTAAATCAGAAGACAGTAAAAAAGAAGGTAAAAGTAACAGTTTTACCTTTGGACTTCCATCTACAAGCAGTCAGGCTCCTTCAACATTTCAGTTTGGGACAGCGAGCCTGGGACAGCAGGAAAAGAAAGAGGAACCAGTTTTGGGAGGCTTTGGTTTTGGCACGAATTCTACTTCTTCCATAGCTACCAATGAGAATAAAACCGGGGTCAGTGGCTTCACTTTTGGAACTGTGGCAGAAGAGGAGGTAGCAACACCTGCTCTTGCATTTAAGAAGCCAGATGAGAAAAAGGATGAAACTCTTCCAAAAAAGGGGAGCTTCTCTTTTGGCAATGTGGAGCCTGCACCTGCCTCGCAGTTTGTTTTGGGAAGGACAGAAGAGAAACAGGACTCTGTCACTTCTGGTGTTGCATTAGCATTTGGAAAGAAAGCTGACAATGAAGAGTTAAAGGCACAACCTATCTTTTCAGCTGAGACGGCTGAGCATACCAAAGAGGAGAGCACAGCAAAACCTATATTCAATTTTAGTTTTGTTAAACCATCGGAGAAGGAAGCTGAGCAGGCAAAGCCGTCGTTTGCATTTGGGGCACAAACCAGTACTTCAGGTAAACGGAACATCTTTTGTCTTTGCGTGTCTGCTTGTGTCTGTCAAATAATTCCTCTGAAGCCATACTGGACAAATTCTGTGGGATTTGATATATTCATGCGTTAGAGCTTTAGAAAAGGCTTCATTACTACCTGCAGCCGGTCTTGAGTTCTGGTTGTTGGTGCGTAGACAGTATGTAGCAAGTCCTTTTTAGATTTCAGTGAGTTTTAACTCTAGGTTTAGATAAAAAAAGTCACCACACCTTAAGGAACCTGTATCCCTGCTTGTATGAACACAGAAGTTGTGTTGTCTCAGTGGCAGCAGCACAGCTGGTGATAAATGCCGCAGCACGGTGCAGCGTTGCTTTTCACCGAGAAAGGGGATGAGAGAGGGAGTGTCTTATTGCCATGTACTTGCAGCTGTGCTGCAGGGCGGACCGCTGTTTCTCTACCGCTACAAAGGTACAAAAGTCACTTGATAGATATTACATAGTTTTATATTCCTTTAATTTGTTGAAAGTCTGCAGTGGAGGATTAAAGTTCTGCAGTGGTGATCACTGTGTGGAAAAATTCTGGTTGTTAAACTCCATTTGTGTGACTTAGCAACTGTGTTTTAGAGAACAGAATTAGTTTCTAACTTCTGAAGTGATACGGAAAAGGACATCAGTAATAACCCTGAATAAAAGCAATACAGAGGGTTATACGGGTTTTAATCACAGTATTCTTAGGTTGAACGGCTACTGAACAGTTTTTGGAGGATTGTGGGCTTCGGGAGAGGGGAGACTGGTGGGTAGGTGGTGGATTTTGAGGTTAGGTTTGGTTTGTGGAGTTTTTTTTACCTGCCAGGTAAAGTTCAGGAGTTTGGTTTAGTCATGGAAACTTGATGAACCACCTTGTGCAAAAAGCAAATTTTAACAAGTGCTCTGAAGAATGGTATAATTCTTAAATTCTTAAAAATTCTTAAAAAGGGCATAGTTGAAAAGGGGCCATAACTGCTGGGAAAAAAGATAATGGGAAATTGAAAACAAGATCATAAATTAATAGCAAGAATTAGACCAGCAGCTTAGAGAAAGCTGAAGAGTGACTGACTTTAAAAGACGGCTTTATTCTCAGTGTGTAAAACTGCACTCGTACTTTATAACAGCAGTCTCAATGGAGGACTGTTCTCTGTTGCTCCTGAAAGCACGTCTTGCAGGTGCTTGAGTACATGGAACTTCAGCTTGGAAGAGCTAGGCTGGAGGACAGTAACCTTTGCTTGACTTAGAGCTCCAACAAGCTACAAATGCAACTTTATCGCTGTGTTTTTCAATACCCCATTGAGCAAAACCATAAAACTGTTGCAGGTGATCGATGTTGTTCTTCTAAGAACATCTGAAATATATTTTTGTTTGAAGAGTTCAGAAGTACTGGTTAATACTGGTTCAGTTAATGACAGCCAATGCTTAGTGTTTGTAATCGATGAAACCTAGACTGCAGTGGTGTCTTTGTTCTTCACAATTCTTCCATTCCTTTAATTGTGGATGGCAGCAACCAGCACATCACATCTAGATCTTAGGTAAGCATCAGTGGCTGGGATAGTAATTGAGGTGTCATTCAGGACTGCTTTTTGTACGCTTATCGAAATAGGAGCCTACTTGCTGTACTGCACTGGGCATTGCTGTGGTGCTTTATGTACTGTTCTTCCTTTCAGATCAAGGAGCAGCAAAACCATCCTTCAGTTTCTTGAGCTCAAGTTCCTCCAGCACAGTTTTACCCACCACTTCAGCCAACAGCAGCAGTGTGTTTGGCAGTGCCATCTCTTCCTCAAATCCTCAGCCAGTTCCCGCTCCCTTCGTGTTTGGACAACCCAGCAACACTGTGAGCAGCTCTGTTTTTGGCAATTCTGCAGAATCTGCAGCCTCTCAGTCGTTCGGCTTCTCTCAAGAAAACAAACCAGCAACCACATCTTCAAGCACTGGCACGGGTCTTGCTTCCTTTGTCTTTGGTTCGGGAGCCAGCGGTACCAATACAGCAAATTCAGGCTTTACCTTTGGAGCCACAACCACATCAAGTACAACAGGTACATTTTAAATAGATGGTCTTCTCGGTTTTGCCATTACATAGTGGACCAAGGAAATCCTGTTTCATGAATATTTTACTTTGGAGAACGTGTAGGCCAAATGCATGGAAGTAGAGAAAAATAATTGAGTATTTATATTCAACAATATAAATGGAGGGTCAATTTTTCACAGTCAGCCTGGGAAACAGTTTAGGAATGAACTGGCAGCAGCGGTGTTTTAGCGAAGGACAACCCTTTACTGGATTTCAATTCGTATAGAAACTTTCTACCATGAGAGTGGTAGTTTCTTTCTTCTCACTGTCAGTCTAGTGCTTACGGTTAGGAGTCAATGAATTACAACTTCACTGATTTTTCTCTTCCGTACCTGAAACTCTAAAGTGCTGTAAATAATGTCAAGATTTGCAAAATCCTTCTTTCATAAGTATATATAAACACAGTACCTCTACATGCAGTTGCTGCTGCTAAGGATTGGTTTCTAATAAGCACTATGACCAGTGTTTGTTAATTTTATAGCCATTTAGAGAAGACAGAGATAAGAATCTAAAGTTTCTTCACATTTTATGTTCGCTGTCCCACTAGATAAATTTAGCAGTTTGACACAAGACTAAATCGGCCAAATCACCTGTATTCCTGCTAGCCTAGCAGTATGTTGGAAATAAAGTTGAATCTGTGAGGAACCGACTTTATCTAGTTTGATCTGGTTGCTTAACCCTGTCATTCACAGAAATTAAATTTCTATGCTTTTTTGTGTATCAGAAACAGAGAGAAGACAGTCCTAAATTATAACAACCAGCAGCTCAATTTAACCTGCTTACAAATTAGTTACTTTCAGTGTCATTTTGTTGGTAGGTGATGCCATATTCCAAACATCTTCACAAAGGATTTCTTGTTTTATGCAGAAGCCTGTATTAACTTTTACCATGTTCATCTTCTTGGAAAGACAAACAGTCAGCCAGTCCAAATTACGGTGCACCTGAGGGTGTTTTCCGTTGCGTGGGGGCTGTTTAAAGTGTCCCCTTTTATGTAGAGCCACTGTTGAGTCACATGTTTTCATGTTGTTATTGCGTGAACTGAAGCAGTTAAACAAGCGCGGTGGTTCCCTGTTGGTGTTGCGTAGAGAATTGCGCTGCTAAACCGAGTTTTTGAGTATGGAGAGCTCAGGGCAAGCTTGATTTGGTCTCCAGAAGTTGAGAATGATAAATGCTTGGGCAAGGAGGTGCGCAGCTGCTGACGAGATCAATCCATGTTCTCCTGATAAGCAGGGAGCTGTATTTTGGGTGCTTGAAAAATACAATTTGAATGAACGTTCTCTGTGTGTGATATAAACAGCTTTTAGTAAATACAAATTAAAATGTACTATTTGTGGGAATCTGTTTCTAGAACAAGAACGTTAACACAGTAATTTGAGTCTAGACAACCAATGTGTTTAAGATTTAATTTCTTCTGACCCTTGTAAACGTGGTGTTGCTCTTGTCACCTACAAGAAAATGTGCAGTTCCTGTTGTGGCTGACGTAGTGGGTGTTTTTGTATTCTCACACAAGTTGTCTGAAATTAAGATGAGTATTCAGCTACCAGACTAGGGAAGGATGAGGTTTTAGAGCCTTCGTTTCTAGATTCAGCCTTTTTTTTGGGGAAAAAATCCTGCGTATACTGACATTTCTCTTCTGTTCCCTGAGGGTCGTCCTCTTCGTTTCCGTTTGGCTCTGGGCCTCTGGCGCCTGCTGCCGGCCCAGCATTTGGTGCCAGTCAGCCACCAGCATTTGGCCAGAGCCAAGGGTCCAGCCAGCCAAGTGCTCCCAGTTTTGGAACGTTGTTTTCAGCGGGCGCTCAGCCTGCTCCTCCTGCCTTCGGCTCGGTGACCAGCAGCACTCAGCCCGCTGTGTTCGGACAGCAAGCGACCCAGCAGCCAGGGTTTGGCTCTGGTACCCCCAGTTCTGGTGAGTGACAGCCATCATCCTCTTCCCTTGTGGTCTCAAAGATGATTTTTTTTCCCCCTTTTTTCACATGAAGTGCACCTTAAATTACATGGAGAAAGACTTCTGCCTTCAGCACATATTTAAGGGTAAGAATTGCCCTCCACAAAAATAAAGGGTACAGAGTTAAGTCATTTGCGTCTCAGTCCTGACTGTGGAGGATGTGCCAGGGGTATGCCACCTTCACAGTAAGCCTTCTCGGCAAGAGACTTGGCAGACATGGAGGTCGCAACCCTGCCACTGAATATTGCAGTTTATTTTCTGGAAAAATCTGAAAACCATGGAGCATTCACTGTTAAGATGGTACGAACCAGAATGGCAGAAGCACTGCAAAATTATTCTTTTTGGGTTTGTTAGAGTAGTTCTTCGTTATCCGACATCGTTAAAAGGCTTTGGCAATTGATTTGGACTGGGGGCTTTGTTGTGTAAGAATATGGTCAGAATTATTTTTAAGTGTTTATGGGTTAAGATTTTATTTAAAGTTGTTTTTACTAACGAAGTATAAAATACCATGGGAAGGGGGCAGAGAACAATCCTTGTAATTTAAGTGTAAGAAAGACTTGTTCCACACTAGTAATTACTAAAAAAGAAAAACACGCTGCCAGAATGTATGTATTTGATATCATCACATCAGATACTTAAAGGGAAAAGCGTCGTCTTTCCCTCTTGGAAGTTTTACCTCCAGAAGCTTAGCCTCCATTAAAAATAGCTGACATTTTTGTACTAATCAGTACAAAAGTCAGTCTTTCATTACTCAGATATTGGCTTATAAAGATAAAAAAAATCTCCCTGGATTGTCTGTGTTGCTTATCAGTTACTTTGGTGGTAGGAATTTTTTTTTTTTTTTTTTAACATGAGGTGCTGTGTTAGCACATTAAATGAAAGGAAGGCTCCGGATTGACTACATGAACACAAGAAAGTTTCCTTAAATATAAATCTACAGGATTCAATGCTATAATTTAAGACTTTTTTAATAAACTTGAGTATGCACAGGTGTAAACTTAACGGTGATACTGAAGTTAGCAAACAATTCATTTTCAGTGTGCCAGCAGCGTTACTTGAAAAATCTCTGTATGAGACTCTGTCGAAGTGAATGAATGCTTCTGTGCACCCTTCCTGGAGTGAGCTGGCACTTCTGGTGCACCCGCCCACTCCCCAACTTTGTCATCTCGAGCGACCTGTAAAAAAATTCGTTAAATATAGTGGGAAGAGCACGAGGATTTGCTGGAAAGGATGAACTCAAATTTCAACTTTCTTACTCCCTTCTGCTTCCACCCCATCTTCCCAGGTCCTGTATTCCAGTTTGGAAGTAATACTCCTAATTTCAACTTTACAAACAACCCCCGAGTATTTACTTTTGGTGCAAATTCTGCACCAGCAGCACCGGCACAGCCTTCCGGCTCTTCGGGATTTTCGTTCAGCCAGCCTCCAGCATTTACAGTGGGGTAAGAGACCGTATCGGAATTTCGCTTGAGCTTCGGGTAATGTCAGCGGACAGTGCTGAGCCTCTGCTGCTGTTAACTCGTGAGGTGCTCAGCAGGAGACGAACCCTGGAGTTTGAAACTAAACTGGGCATCCTGCTGTGCGTTAGCCTGGCCGGCTAACTAAGCAGCGGTGTCTCTAAAGGAGCCTGGTTGTCAGAAGTGTCACACATCAACACTTGTGAAATGGTCTTGTTCTCGAAAGGTAAGGTCCGTGTCTAGCTGCTACGCTGCCGCTTACCTTCCGCGTAAGAGAGATCTAATGGCTTTTGGTTTCTGGAGCTCTCTTCCTCCTGTCCATCGTATGCCATTTGTTGCCAGCTGGTAACTGGTGAGACGAGACTATGAAACAGTTGTTCTGGAATATCTGCTCAGTGGTGCTACTGAATTTTCAGCTACGCTGTCCTAAACTCTGAACTACTGATTTCTTTTGATAGGACTAATGGGAAAAATGTTTTCTCTGCCTCTGGATCTTCAGTTCCTGGTCGGAAGATAAAGACTGCAGTTAGACGTAGAAAATAATCGCCCGCTAAAGCAACTTTGGAAGGAGCTGCTGCCCTGCATCGTTCAGTGGTTGGAATCGTACCTCATGCTGGGTTAGCTGAAGTCAGATCTGCTTAAAGGAATAAAAAACTCTGCTGCCCTTCCCTCCCGCCTCCCCAGTTAGATGATTTTTTTTTTTTTTTTTTTTTTTTT